TCTCACTCCCCTCCCGGAGGTGGCACCACCCAGCGTCCTACAGCGAGTGGGGGGCTCGTCTCAGAGGGCCTCTGTTTCCTGTGTGACTGGCCTGTGAGCCAAGGCTCTTGCAGGGCGAGGTTTGGGGGGCCAGCCCAGGGGAGAGGGCGGCCACTGTCGAGAGTCATGTTTCTTTACCCACGCGGCCTTTCTCCCTCTCCATCAATTTTTTCCTGTATGGACCTGTGATGGTGGTGTCCACTGCCCTGAGGCCCGGTGGATCCCAGGGCAGGCCAGTGTCCAGGATGGCATCCAAGGGGTGACCCAGCCTGGGGCTGGACCCAGCCTTCGGCTGCTTCTCTGCTCTGCCCAGACTCTGCACCACACTCTCCTTCTGTGGCTGGGTGGGTTAGGATCACAGGGTCCTGCAGGACCTCCCAAGATGGGGCCTCCCCCTGGCCCTCCCTGTCCTGTCCCTGGCCAGTCCACACTGGACTGGAGGTGACTTGAGGCCAATGCTTCCAGAAGGTTCCTGTCCTAGGTAGGTGGTGCATACCATGAGTAGGTCTGGGTGGTCCCAGGACTGTGAGAGTGGGGCGCTTCTCGGATTGATGGAGCTGTGACCGGGGGTGCTGTGGTGGCCGGCTGGCCGGCTCTGAACTTGAGGGCATTTTTTTTTTTGTTGCACCCGGCAATGTACAGGGGTTACTCCTGTTCATGCACTCAGGAATTACTCCCAGCGGTGCTGGGGGACCATATGGGATGCTGGGAATCGAACCCGGGTTGGCTGTGTGCAAGGCAAACGCCCTACCCGCTGTGCTATCACTCCAGCCCCTTGAGGGCATTTTTGCCCTCCGGTGGGGCTGCGAGACTCCCTTCGGGGAGAGGCGGGGCTTTCCTTTGGCATGAGGCTTCTGGGCCCTCTCCTTGCCCCATGGGCCCGTCTGCCCCTGGAGCCCCCAGAGCATCTGCCAGCGCTGACCTGGTCCCCATGCCCGGCTGCCGAGGGCGCCCTTGCTCATTCCTCCCATCGATCTCATCGTGTCTGTGTTTGGGGCCCGTGAGCCTGTGGTCGGATGTGGTGCGGCGAAAGGCGTCCGGCGCCCCGGCTGCCAGCTGCAGGGGCCAGGCAGGGCTGGTGCAGAGCAGGAGGACACTGTGTCCCCGGGGGAGCGTGTGACCTTGGGCCGAGGAGGCGGCACCACCCTCCCCCAAGGCCTTTCAGCATGTCCCTTGTGGCCAGTGGCGCCCTCTTGGTGGCCTCGTCTTGGTCCAGAGTCGGGGCCCTATGTGAGGAAGGTGGACTTTACCGGATTTCAGTGCCGGTTTAAATGCCATGTCGATTAAGGAGGAAACACGGAGCTACTCACTCGAAGCCCATTTCTGTCTCTCCCAGAGAAGGATGTTCTCGCCCCGCACCGCCCTCGGCCTTTCCCTGGGAGATGGATGCTTCGGCGTTGGGGCGGGAGACACAGTGCTCTGCCCTTGCCGCTCGCCCCGCACCCCCTTCCCTTGCGGCTGCCGGGACCCCGTGCTGGACCATGGGGGTCGCGCCCTGGACTCCTGGGCACCCCTTGTGTGCCCCCCTAGTCCAGACGGTTTTGTTTTTCAGCCCGGTTTTGCCTGAGGCCCGGCTAAGAGGCATTTGGACGCGGTTGCTGGAGACTTCCCAGCCGCGTGGCCCAGAGTGGGGCCTCAGTGCCATGGTGCCGGGCGTGTGGCAGGGATCGCCCCCTGATGGCTGAGTCCAGGACCCCCAGCAGAGCTGGCACGGGCCGGGGAAGGCGAAGAGGTCACCATGGGGGCTCAACACGGGCTCGTGCCTGCCGAGGCCTGTTGCTGGGGGCCCAGGGCTGGCGGGGGAGGGTGGGTCACCAGGCCCGGGGTGCTCCGTCCCCAGCCTGAGCTGAGCACAGGCCAGTCCTGGTGCAGGAAGGGGTGTGTGCAGGGGACCTGGGCATCACCTCTTGCTCGGCTCTGCTGGGGTCCCCGGGCAGCTGTGGACTCCACTTCCGCGGGGACACCTGGGAGCACAGAGCTCAGGGCTGTGTCATGAGGCTGGCACCCTGCAGGGCTCCCTCCCTCACCCTCGCTGGGGGTCCCGAGGGTGAGGACGTGTGGGACCAGATGGGACTCCTGCCTGGGGGTGTAATCGAATCATCCAATCAGACGATTAGGCATGGTTATCAGGGCCCGCGCTGTGAAGGATGCGGGCAGGCGGGCTCAGCATGGCCTCCGGGGCCCCAAGAGAGAAGGTGGCCTTTCTGCGGAGACCCGAGGGAGTCCTGGATGCTGGGGATGTGGCTCAGCCATGTGGCACATGCGAGGCTCGGGGTGTGATCCCCGAGGGAAGAGAGAGTGAGGGGCGGTGACTTGGCAGGGTCTCTTAGTCTCACGGGGGAACTTGGGGTGCTTCCAGGGGCCCCAGGCCCAGCAGACCAGGGCAGGTGCTCAGAGAAGGGGCCCTGGACCTTGAGTGATGTTTGGATGGTTCAAGGTGCCATGGGCAGTGTCTGGAGGTTGCAGGAGATCGGATGGGCTAGGAGAAAGCAGGGAGGGCAGACCGGAGGCGGCGACAGTGCAGGGTGGAGGTGGTGCTTACCTGGGGTGCGGGGTGGGCCAGCTGGGGAAGGTGAGTCCTGGGAAGTGTCCCCTGTGGATGGGGCCTGTGCACCTGCTCTACACAGGTGTGCCGATGCTCCCCGTCGGGTACATGCCGCAGACGCCGCCTCCTCCACCTGCTGGCGGCGGCTCCAGCAGAATGTTCCTTCCTGCCTCCCCTGTGCATGGTGGCCAGCCCCGCAGAGCCCCGGGGCTGCCCCCGAGGGGCCCTGCACCCCGAGCCCCCCCTCCAGACGGTCTGTTGATGCTGCTGAACATTTTGGGTAACTGGGGGCTGGTGCTCCCGTCTGCCTGCACACAGAACGCCGGGAGTAGACCGATTTCCCTGTGGCCCGGCGAGCTCGCGGGCCGGCTCTGCTGCCCGTTCTCTGTGGCATATGTGTACGTGTGCTGTGCTCCCTGTGTGTGTGCATGTGCTCCCTGTGTGCTGGCTCTGTGTCTGAGGTGGGGGCTGTGTCAGGGCCGGCTGCAGGGAACACGCCAGGGGGTCTCGGGCTGGGGGGTGTCTGAGCGGAGGGCTGTGCGCTCGTGTGCCATGGGGGAGGCGTGTGACAGCCATGAGCCCGAAAAACCCTGCATGCCGCCTCCTGCCGGTACAGCCCCAGAGCGGCCTGGCAGCTGGAGGCCATCAGATCTTGGGCATGGCCCTCATCTGCTGACCAGCGTGTCCAGAAAGGAGCCAGGCACAGGGCAGGAGGCCAGGGCCAGTACTGGGGGGAGAAAAGTCTCGGGGTCACGCGCCGTGAGTGGGTGTGGTGACCTGGAACTGCGGGGCAGGTGGTGGGCACGCGGGCGGTTGTGGGGAAGCTGAGGGTGTGAGGGCACCCAGGGGAGGGGGATGTCGGGGCAGATGGGAGCTGCCAGGGCCTCACACCACAGTGTCCCCGCCTGGGGAAGGGGCGGCCAGGGTCACTCACAGCCAGCGCTGCCGGGCACTGGGGTTGCTGGAGCCCCAGATGCCCCCAGGAGGCACACCCTTGGGGGAGCAGCGCTATGGCACCTTTGTTGGTTTTGCTGTGGGTGGACATGGGCAGATATGTCCACTGTTGTGGCTTTCTGTATGGGAGACTGAGCAAGTTCTGACGGGACCCACGTGGCACGATAAATGTGTACCTGGACCCGTAAGCTGCCCCGTCTACGGGAGGGGCTCGGAGACGGCACGTCGGAGCCCCACGCGTGGGGAGTCCGGAGCATGGGGCCCGCTGAGCACTGGGTGCTGGTGTTGACTGTGGCTGAGGGTTCTGGCACCCTACAGTCTTCCAGGCTTATCTGGGGGGCCGCGAGCTGCCCGCTGGCTGGGTCTTGGGGCACCTCCGTCTCTCCCGTTCTGCCTCGGAAGGCGCTCTGCCTGCCCAGCCCGCCCACCAGGCCAGCGCCGGTCCCACCATGGATGCTGGGGGATGTTCTGTGGGCCCGGCTCCGACTAGAGGACCAGGATTGTCGGAGGTCAGGGAGCCATACCCCTCCCCCAATAAGCATTGTCCAGGGGCCCTGCGGACTGGGTGCAGGGAAGGGCAGGGATGGGGGTGAGTGCTGCCTCTGGACAAAGCTTCTCTGATGTCCACGTGGCCACCAGTGCGGGCAGGCAGAGGTGGTGCTGGCTGACCCCTGCGTCTGATGGGCCTTTCTGCTTCTCGCCGGACCCAGGGAGCTTGAGGCTGCGGTGACCCGTCCCTCTCGCCCGGTGCTTGACTGGGCCAGAGCAGGTGGCCAGGGGAGGGCTGCACGCTGTCCAGGGTGTGGTGTGAGGGTCACGCCCCTGGCCACACCTGTGTGTCCTCCCCACGGTGGGGGGGTGTCCACTCTCTGCAATGGCCATGAGCACCCCGCAGGTTGGCAGGTGCAGGATTGCTGCCCGAGTTAGGAGCATTTCGACAGTTCTTGCCGAAATGCTCCGGCTAATGGGGATTCATAGCTTTGATTGATAAACGGGAGAAGACCCTCCCTGTTTGCCAACAAACGATGGCTGTGTGTGGGGGCGGGGAGTGGGGCAGAGGGACAGGGTGAGGGGAGTGCGCCAACCTCCCCGCGACACTTCCCAACCCCTCTCCCTACTTCGATGTTCTGGTTCTGCCGAATGTGGCGCTGGAGGTCTCCCAAATGGGTGCCGGGCCCCCTGGGGCGGGGGTCTCAGGGCCTCTGCACTCCGTCAGACCCCTCCTCTGATGGCAGGAGCCGAGATCCCCCCTCCAGGCTCCAGGCATTGTAAGGGGAGATGGGGAAGGCCGGGCCGCGGGGACCGTGTGGGGTGAGGCCTTGGCCACGCTGGCCTGGGCTGGGTCCACGAGGTCCCTTGAGCCTTGAGCATTGCTGGGTTGGCACCAGAGAGAGAAGGGAAGGGGGTTGGAAGGACGGGTGGGGGGAGTGGGGTGCCTGCTGAGCCGGCCTTCCCCCCACAGACACATAGAGAACTGGCGCGGCCTGCAGACGCTCAACGCCGTGGACATGGAGCTCTACACGGGCCTGCAGAAGCTGTGAGTGTGGGGCGGGCGGGGCGGAGGGGGGCCCAGCACCCACGTGGAGCCCACCGGTCTGATCCCGGCCTCTCCCAGGGTGGGCAGGGGTTCCGGCCGGGCACATGCTGACCCCCCTCTCCTCTCCTCAGGACCATCAAGAACTCGGGGCTCCGCAGCATTCAGCCCAGAGCCTTCGCCAAGAACCCGCACCTGCGCTACATGTGAGTGGGCCAGACGGGGCCTCAGCCCGGTCAGCAGCCTTGGGAGGGGGTGTGTGGGTGAGGCGTACGCTGTGTGTGTGTGTGTGAGTGATGTGTGTGGTGTGTGTATGTTTGCGTGGTATGCATGCATGCTCTGTGTGCATGAAGTGGTGTGGGTGTGTGCGTGTGTGTGTGTGTGTGCGTGTGTGTGCGTGTGTGTGTGTGTTCACGGCTCCCTTTGGGGGAGTGGGGGCACTCGGCCTTGGTGGCAGCGGTGAGCAGGCCAGATTGAGACGGGGCTCTGGGAGTGGGCGGTGTGGGAGGAGAGACGGGGTGAGCTGGGTGGGGCTGTTGCTTTTCAGGGGCTCCCTGAGTCCCGCCTGGCTGGTTCCCCCAGGCCCCTGGACACTCGCCATCAGGGGCCCCCTGCTTTGGGTGGAGCCCCCTCCATTTGCAGGGCTGACCACCCTGCACTGCCCGGGCCCTGCAGCCCGGCCGGGGCCAGATGTTCCAGGGCCAGACGTCTGCTTTGTTGGTGACTGAATTTTCCTGTGAAACGGCATGGAGGGTGCACGCCTGAACTCATCTTTCAGACTTCCCCTGAAGGCCATGGAGGTCAGGGCTGGTGGAGGCTGTGGACAGGGGGGCTGTCTACCCCTTGCCTTCTCTGGAGTCAGCTGGGACACATGTCCTTGAGTCTGTGGGGAGGGCCAGTGTGCAGGATCAGCAGGAGACCACGTGACTGCTCCCTTCCCATGGCTGCTGAGACCCAGTGGGGCGGGGGTCATGCCTGGGGGAGATGGTGTCCACGTGAGGCCTGTGCCCCCCTCCCCATGGTGCAGAACCCTCCAGCAGTTTCCGGGGCCTTCACGGGGGAGGGTCTGGGTCCCCCCAGCTGGCCTGGCCTTGGTCTGCCTTTGCTCCCGGACTCCTTGGAGCTCTGTGAAGCCCCCATTAGATTTCCTGTCCAACCCGGGGGTCCTGGCCCCCCTCTGCACTCTGGTGCTGACAGGGACTCCTGGCCCGAGGTGCAGGTGTCGGACGCCAGGCGAGGGTCTCAGCTCAGAAGAGGTGTGGATGGACGGGGGTCTCGGAAGAGGCACTGCGGTGCGCGGTGATGTCATGATGCAGTCCAGCGCACGCCATGACATTGACATCATGACAGGGGTCTGGCGTGCTCTGTGACATCACAGCAGGGTGTGCCCCATGATGTCACAGAAAGGGTCTGCCATGCTCTGTGACATCACAGCGGGGGGTTCCCAGTGATGTCACGGCGGGGGTCCAGCACGCAGTGTGTCACGGTGGGTCCTGATGATGGAGACTCGTACCCCCCCCACCCCCCCAGCACACTGCCACTTCCCGGCAGCTGTCCTGGGACATGCCGCCCTGGCAGCCGGGCAGGTTCCGCTGCTCGCGCTGCGGCGTCTATTTCTGGCCTCTAAATGCATTTACAAGTCTGCGGCGGCCGAGCCATCACGCCCGGCGCTTACTCCGGCACTAATTGCCCGGGCCTGGCTTGGCGCCTTTTTTCTCCCTGCAGCCCTGCGTTCCTGGGGGGTATGCAGCAGCGCGGGCCGCTCTCCGGCCCTCTGCGCAAGGCCCTGGCGGGACCCAGCTCCAGCCTGGGCTGGACGGAGGCCACGGCCGAAGCCTGCTGCCCACGGCTGGAGATTCAGACCACCGCGTCGCTGCAGGGGGCTTCAGCTTTTCCTGTCCAGCTGTGGGAGACGAAATTTTGACCCTGACAGTCCTGCCGGGTCTTTTGTTTCTTGGGGCTGGAAGATTCGTGACCTTCCCCAACCTTGAGGCTCTGGATCAAGGATCTGGGAGGACAGAGAGGGCCTGAGTGGCCTCTGGGTAGCCTGTGCTGACCTTCCCGGCTGGGAGTGCCCAGGGGAGGCCTCCCGTGCACCTGCCTTTCCCGCTGCTGTTGCTGAGATAATTGCAGTCGGGTTTCCCCATGCACCTGTGGCCACTGGCACACCTGGGCACGTGGGCACTGGCACACCTGTGGCATGCAGATGGCTAGTCCCACAGTCCTGGAAGCTATTGTTTTTTAAAAAAATTTTTATTGAGTCACTGTGAGATACAGTTACAACGTTTTCATGTTTGAGTTTCGGTCATACAATGGTCAAACACCCATCCTTTCACCAGTGCACATTTTCCACCACCGAAGTCCCCTGTATCTCCCCCATCCCAACCTTTTCCCTGCCTGTGTGACAGACAATTTCCACAATACTCTCCCCCTACTTTGATTACATTCAATATTTCGACACCAGTCTCACCATTATTATTTGGAATTTTTCACTCAAACCTACTGAAAAGGCAATGCTGGACTATTTAGTATTGCTTGATGTGAATAGTATAAGATGTCCTGTAGCCGCTCTTGTGGCCGCACGCTCCTGGAATTCTGAAGCCCTGTATCACTGTCCTCCCATTGTTCATCGATTTGCTTGAGTGGGCCTAGTAACATCTCCATTGCGAGACTTCTTGTTACTGTGTGGCATACTGAATATGTCACGGGTAGCTTGCCAGGCTTTGCCGTGTGGGTGAGATACTCTCGGTAGCTTGCCGGGCTCTCCGAGAGGGGCAGAGGAATCGAACCCAGCTTGGCCGAGCCGGCTGCGCGCAAGGCAAGCACCCTACCGTTGTGCTATTGCCCCAGACCCAGAATTCTAAAATTTTAGATAATTAGGGTCTGGAGAGATCTCTGCAGGGAGTTGCTTGGCACTGAGATTCTTTTGTGTGTCTCTGGATCATGGCTCTTAAGGAGCTTCAATAGTAGCCGGGGGCAGTTTGTGGGCATCATTTCAGGGTTCCACGGGGTCGGGGGATGAGAGGGACCAGCTCGTCCCCTGTCCCTTGAGGCCTGGAGTTTGCCATTACTGCTGCTGCATACCTGGGCTTCTCATTGGCTTCTGGAAGATGGCGGCGCCGGGATTCCTAGGGGTTAGGCACTGGAGGCGATTGTTTGCTTGGTATGTGGGGTGCAGCCGGTGGTGCCGGTGGTCTGTGTGGTGCTGGGGGTGGAGCCCGGGGCTTGTGTGCTTGACACCCGCCCTCAGCCCATGGAGCTGTGTCTCTGCCCCGCGGGCTTTTATTCTAGGAAGTTCAGATGTGGGTCCTTGGGACGGCTGTCTCTGAGGCCCAGCAGATGGGCAGAGGTTCTCTCTATGCCCCGTGGGACTGCTCACACCCTCGTATAGGCACATGCCCTGCGTGGCCCCTCTCTCCCTGTTTGGGGCTGGTTTATCTGGTGGACCACAGTCTGGCGCTCCCCGAAGTGGGTGTGGTGAGGCCTCCTGGATGCAGGAGTGCAGGCTGTTCTTGGGGACCCCTTTAGCTCACACGGGCCTGACCCATCCTGGGTGCCGGGGTATCAGGAGGCATGGACTGGAAGGGGGCTGCGTGGACACAGGTAAACATCTGTGATCTGGGGGTCACTTTTCTCCGCCTCCCAGGCTGGCAGGCCCCCCAACACCCACCCAGAAGCAATAACGGAATCAATAAACTTACACAGAGGTTTGGGATGCTGCAGGAGAAGGCGGGAGGTGGGACCCTCCCCACAGCCACCCCACACAGGGCTCCTGTACCCCATTCAGAGCCGGGGGTCCCAGAGCAAGCACAGTCAGGTCTCAGCTAAGACCTTCCTTTCCCTCTCTCTCTCTCCCTTCCTCTCTCTCTCTCTCTCTCTCTCCCCCTCCCTCTCTCTCCCTCTATATCTTTCCCTCCGTCTCTCTCTCCCTCTCTCCCTTCCTCCCTCTCTCCCTCTCTTTGCCTCTCTCTCTCCCCCTTCCTCTTTCTCTTTCCTTGTCTTTTGTCCATATGCTCTGCTTGTGTCTCTCTCGTTTCTTCTCTCTTTTCCTCTCTCCTCTGTCTCTGTCTCTGTGTCTGTGTGTGTGTCTCTCTCTGATGGTCCTCCCGCGGGGGGTCTCTGCAGCGCTTCCTGGGGCTGAGGTGGCGGCAGCTCCCTTGTCTCTGAGGGCCCATTGAGAACCCGCTCAGCCCGTCTCTCCCAGCCAGGTCAAATCCTGTAACGCCACTTGCATTAGAACCTGCATCTCTTTATTATAAAAGATTTCTTGGCATTAGCCTCTGGCCTGTTGAGTTCCAAGAATATGTAATGTCGGATTCCAGCAAGCCCAGCGCATTTATTTCTCCCACCCTAGAGGCGGGCCTGGCAGAGGTGGCGGGAGGGGACGGGGAAGGTCCCGCCGGCTCCTGGAGCAAGGGTGGCCAGGGCTGCTGGCTGTGGGCTGGCCCAGTGACCCGGCCTGTCACAGGGGCAGCCACACACTGCCTCCCCAGCCCGAGGTCATGGCTCTGATGCTCCTGGGGCCCTGTGGGCTGATGAGCTGTGGGGAGCTCTCTGGGGAAGGCGGCTGTGGGTGGGGGCCGGGGAGATGCAGGGTGTGTGCAGCCCCTTTTCTGTCGGAGATGTGCCTGAGTGTCCCAAGGGGCCCTGGGGTCTCAGGGTGGGGAGGTGGCATCAGGACCACATCCAGGAATGTGCACAGGGGGTTGGGTGTGTGTGTGCGTGCGTGTGTTTGTCTGCATGTATGTGTTTGTGTGTATGGGCATGTGTGTGTGCATGCATGCATGTGTGTTTGTGTGGGTTCATGCCTGTGTGTGCATGTGTGTGTGTGTGCACGTGTGTGCATGAGTATACGCCTCTGTGTGTGGATGTGTGCATGTGTGTATATATGTGTATGTGTGTGTTTGCATGTGTGTGCACGTGTGTGTGTTTGTGTGTGTATGTTCACATGTGTATATGTGTGTGCATGTGTGTGGATATGTATGTGTGTCTGTATGCGTGTTCATGTGTGTGTGTGCACATGTGTGCATGTGTGTGTGTGAAATGATGCTGAACCCGGGTGTCCCCAGTCTGTTGACTGTCGGCCTCACCTGACTGTAGTGCCCCCTCAAGCTCCTGTCCCTGGTCTCTCCCCATGACTGTGGCCATGTGGGGTTGTGTCCTCTGTCCTGTGGGACATGCCCCCCACCTGCCCCGATCATTTCCA